AAGTAGAGTATGGAGTATAAAGTATAGAATATAGAGAATAGAGGGTAGAGTATAGATTATAGAGAGTAGAGTATAGAGTATAGAGAATAGAGTACAAAGAATAGAGTATAGAGTGTAGAAAGTAGAATATAGAGAGTAGAGTATAGAATATAGAGTATAGAGTATAGAATATAGAGAATAAAGTATAGAGTATAGAATATAAAGTATATATATATTAATATTATTCGCATAGAGAGAAAGAGAAGTAAAATTAGAAACATTAGAAAGAAAGATAGGAGATACGATAGAATATAACTTACAGTACAGAATACAAAAGATGATAAGTAGAATCGAAAAATATGCGTTTGTCCATCGTAAATGAAATCTTAAGGATAGTTTGAGGATAGTTTGAGGAATCTTTATGGCGATGTTAAATGAAAAATTTTCGCGAGAAAATAAACGCGTCTCAAAAGCAGCCTCTTCGATATTTTGTGATCTTAATAGATCACGCGCTTGGATCAATTTGAACAGCCTTTCCTTTTCTTGGATCTTCGATTTTTTCTCATTATAAGGAGCCTCTAATCTCTTCTAATTATCTTCTAACTCACTTAACAGATCCTTCAATTTTCCTTAAAATTTACAACTATTTTTTTTGACTATTATTCTATCTACATATCTATATCTATTAACGATAATCTTAACGACTTTTAAATTTTCACAAAATTATTGATGTCGATAAGGATGAATTCAAGTGGAAATTAATTTATTCGAAGGGAATACCGACAGTTACAATGAAGAAGAAGCTTTTTCACCACGGGGCTCCATGTTTCCGGACCCGGTTCGAAACGCTTTAATCGGCTTACAGCCAGGGTTTAATAACTTCTATACAAGATATTAACGGGCAAAAACCACGGGTTACTCTCGTTGCAACAGCAGAGAAATTTTCCAATCCTTGGAAAATCTGTTTTTCTTCGAGAAAATCGGCCGAGCCTCCGATTCGATCAACAAGTAGTTCAAAATTACGTGACTTTTCATATATTGTTCTTAGAATACATGCAATTTAATTTATAAAGATCCTTAAATTAAATTAATAAAATCATTGAATAATTTCATTGGTAAGATTCGTAAAAGGAATTTTCACGAAAAGACACGTAGAAAATTACGTTTGTAGAAGTGTATATATGTACTTACAACCTATATCGGGCAAGCAAGAAATTATTGATCTATTCCATATACTTATATAACTTGACCTGTTTTTTTTTTTTCATTTCCGTTTGCGTAGGCTGCATATCTCATTTACCGGATGCATACCGGATGCCCGAGTATTTTCGCCCATCCCTTTGGATATACGCGAATTCGTGAATTCTATTTTGAACATTAGATACCACGTTTTTCAAAAAATTTGCGAATTTTAATTTATTAAAAAAAAAAAAAAAAAAGAAGAAAAAGAAGAAGTTGATATCAAGAAGGATATTCGGTATTGAAATGGTATTAAAAATTGTTTACAAGAAGTTTTAATCAATTTTTAAGTGTTAAACGCTTCGAGAAGGGTATAATATATCGTGGATTTGCTCCAATTCTTGGACGAATTATTACCAACGTCGATCGATCTCCAAGCTTTTTCGGCCATACTTTGCAAAAAGGATAGAAGGAAAAAAAATAATATCGCTTCTTCCTTGAAGCAAGGAATCCTTCCATATGCGAGAATAACTCCTCTAACCGGATTACGATGTATTCAAATCGTTTCGTCGCTTGACTGGTGCGTGCTAATAAAAAAATATCGTTGATATTACTATGATATTTAATAAAACTCATCCATCTTCTTCTTTCCTTAAAATATTTAAAATATTTGGATAAACGACGAACGAATATTTGGAAAACGAACAAAGCGAATATTTTAAAAAATAAATGTTACGAAATATATACAATTTTTCTTTCAAATAAATAATAATTTCATTTTAAAAAGAATCACCTTCTAAATCTTATATAACAAAAAAAGATTTCGAATCAATGATCAGAAATGTTTCAAACAGACTTACAATCAATCATTATCATCGAATAATAAATCATCGAATATCTTAAATAAATGTTATAAAATATATAATTTTTGGAACAAATAATAAATCATCGAATGCAATAGCGTATATTTTAAAAAATAAGTGTTACAGAAGTATATAACTTTTCTTTTAAATAAATAAATAACTTCATTTTAAAAAAAGAATCACGAAAAAACTTTCTAGATCTCATATAGGTTATATCAAAAAAAGTTTTCAAATCAATGATCAGAAATATTTCAAAGAGAATTACAACCAATTATTATTATCATCGAATATTTTAAAAAATAAGTGTTACGAAATACATACAATTTTTCTTCCAATTAAATAATAACTTCATTTTAAAAAAAGAATCAAACTTTCTAAATCTCATATAGATTATATCAAAAAAAGATTTCAAATCAATGATCAGAAATATTTCAAACAAACTTACAACCAATCATTATTATCATGGAATAATAAATCATCAAATATCTTAAAAAATAAGTGTTACGAAATACATACAATTTTTCTTCCAATTAAATAATAACTTCATTTTAAAAAAAGAACCACCAAACTTTCCAGATCTCATATAAATTATAAAAAAGTTTTCGAATCGATGAGAAATGCTTGAAACGGATTTATAACCAATCATTATTATCATCGAATATTTAAATCATTAAATAATAATTTTTAAAAAAAGAACCACCAAACTTTCCAGATCTCATATAAATTATAAAAAAGTTTTCGAATCGATGAGAAATGCTTGAAACGGATTTATAACCAATCATTGTTATTATCGAATACTTAAATCATTAAATAATAATTTCATTTTAAAAAAAGAATCACCAAACTTTCCAGATTTCATATGGATTATAAAAAAGTTTTCGAATCGATAATGAAAAATGCTTGAAACAAATTTATAACCAATCATTATTATCATCGAATATTTAAATCATTAAATAATAATTTTTAAAAAAAGAATCACCAAACTTTCCAGATCTCATATAAGATTCTGAAAAAGTTTTCGAATCGACGCTGAGACATGCTTGAAACGGATTTATAACCAATCATTGTTATTATCGAATACTTAAATCATTAAATAATAATTTCATTTTAAAAAAAGGATCACCAAACTTTCCAGATCTCATATAAGATTCTGAAAAAGTTTTCGAATCGACGATGAGAAATGCTTGAAACGGATTTATAACCAATCATTATCATCGAATACTTAAATCATTAAATAATAATTTCATTTTAAAAAAAGGGATCACCAAACTTTCCAGATCTCATATAGATTATAAAAAAGTTTTCGAATCGACGATGAGAAATGTTTGAAACGAATATTTATAATGAATCCGTTGTCCTTTTGAAATTGCAGAAGCGGCCTCGGCGGATGTAGCTGGTAGCAAGACGAACAGCGAGACGGCAGAAGTTTTCGCCGTGGCTAAGTTCCCCTCGGCCGCGGCATCGTCGTCCACGACGACCCCACCGTCATCCTTGTCGAGCGTGGACGCCAGGATGGTTGCCTCCGCCCACAATCTCGACGATCCGACCGCGGGCCATCCGGCGAACGTGAACGGCGACCGCCAACAGCAACAGCAACGCGAGGAGAAGCACGGCCACGTGTACAGATCGGCGCAGCAGACCGCCCAGGACAAGAGGAGCAGGCTCAGCAACGTGATCAACAATCTTAGGAAAAAGGTTCCCGACTCGAGGAACGGGGAGTCGGCTGGGAAGAAGGAGGAGGACGACAGGAACAGCGTGGAGAGGAACCTCGAGACCCTGGAAAAGTACGTGATGACGGTGTTGAACGGTGTGATCAAGGACGAGGAGAATGACAGAGAGGTAAGTAAGAAGAAGGAGGCCGAGAAGAAGAAGGAAGGCGACAAGTTGGCCGAGGATCGGGAAGAGGACGAGGATCCGAAGGGTTTGGCCGCCAAGTTCGAACCCTCGAAGCCTAACGAGAGCAGGACAGAGGCAGCCGTCTTCCTCGCGGACAAACCCGACAAACCTGACAAGGAATTCTCTTTGGAGCTTCGTAAAATTGATGCGAGAGGCGAGAACTCTTCGAGGAGCGAAGAGTCGGTTTGCGCGGCGTGGAAGGAGAAAAGCCAGGAGAAAAGCCTCCTCCTCCTGTCCGAGGATGCGTCAGGGAAGGAGAAGGAGCCCTCTAAGAGAGGGGAAGAGGAGGATAACGTTTGCATAGGTAACGACAAGTGTTCCCCCTGTAAGGAGATAAAGTGCGAGGAGCAGTCTGTCCAAGAGGCAGGGAGGAATGATAATCAGGAAGAGGAGAGGAGAGAGAATCGTTCCCTGGGAACGATCATTATGGAGAGATTGAGCGAGAACTTGTCGGATGGTGGAAACGTGGAAGGGAGCTTGGTGGATGATGCGAAAGATGACGAATTGGTCTCTGACAACGTCGAGTTGAGAAACGTGTGCAGAGATTTGTTGAACGATCTGTTGAACGATATCAATCAATTGATCGACGAGAACAGGCGGAGTAAAGAGGAGACGAAGGCGCGGTTGGAAGGCATCGAGGAATCCAAAGATTCGTCCAGGATTCAAGATTTCGCTATGACGAGTCTTCATTGTAGTCTGCCCCTGGATAAAGTGGCCTCAGTGTTGCAGAATTGTCAGACGAGCGAATTGGCTGCTCCTCAATCGCCTTCTTCTTCTTCTTCTTCTTCTTCCTCCTCTTCCTCTTCTTCTTCTTCTTCTTCTTCCCAGGGCTCCAAGTCTCCCAGCAAACCATCCTCTCCCACCGTCAGACATCTCTGCTTGTACTGTGATCGCAAGTTCATGTCGATATCCCTGAGGCAACGGCACACCGAGAGAGTTCATCAGCAAGGGGGCGGCAGAAGGTCGGAAAGGAACTCGAGGAAACCGTCGCAGAACTGCCAGTATTGCTCTGATAGATGCGCGGAAAGCTTGGAAGGTCTGTTCCAGCACATGATCGGCACCCATGGAGACAAGTACCATGCTTGTTTGCAGTGCTCTACCAGGTACCTAACCAGGGAGGCTCTAGCAGTTCATATGAACGAGAATCACGGTGTGAATCTCGCGGAGAGGAATCTTCAAATTCAGGTACTATCCGAAGTCAAGTTTTCGAGGCCATTTTTGTTTTTGCCTCTGAATTAAATTCATCCAAATCTCTTTTCCATACCGTTGCAATAAGTTTCCTACAATTTTTGCAGTCCCTTTCACAGGAGAAGTTGAAGGAATCCTCTTCCCCCTGCAAGGAGCTAGGCAACCAAAGTCCCCACGACAGGGCAGATCCGTCGAACCACCCCAAAGAGAGAAGAGGCGAGGAAACTGATCACGAACACCGAGCGGAAACCAGTTTGCTGAAACCAATGCACCCGGTGAAAGACAACTTCAGCAATCCGGGGAGCCCGGAGTTCGACAGTTCCTTTTACAGCAGCGTGAGTTGCAACATCCGGGAGAATCTTCTTCACCATTTGGATGGAAAACTTCAGAGCTCGTCGTCTGCTATAGCGTCCAACGGTGTGTCGATAACAGAGGCGAAACCTCAGCAGCAACAATCACAGCAACAACAGTCCTATTACGAGCACAACGTTAATCAGATACAATTCCCGATAGATATATCGTTAACAGCCGCGACACCGGTTTATTCGAAGGAATACAGTAGCGAGGAGTACGAGAATAATAGCGAGTACGCCCAGAAGCCTGGTAAGAGTAATAGGTCCCATCCTAGGCGAGTGTCTTTCGAGAAGTACAACTTTCCTAGGAAATACGACGGGAAAGAGCAATGGACCTGCTCGATAAAAGATCTCAGCAAGTTTGATATATCCACTCAATTGACACTGAGGAAGAAACAACAGTTGCTCAAGGAGCGTATAAGTCTAAACAGATTGCATCAGCTCACCCTTCTTGGACCTTGCGAGATCGTCCAGAACGAACAGAATCACGGCTCTAAAAGTCTCGATATATCTAACAATTCGGGAATAGTTGTCGTTAACGATCCAGATATTGAACAGACATCCCGTTGCGAAGCTTTGAAATCGTCGATGGAGAACAAACACGAATGTTCCGAAGTGAAATCGCTTCAGGGTACCGAGTTCACTGTAGAATTTGGCAACTTTTTGAGGTTAAGGAAATGGGACGAGAAGATGACTATCGAGGCTGCCAAAAATCAGGAAGTTGTTTACGCCGAGTTGACAGGGGAATGGTCGAGGCCGAGGGTCTACATCTGCGGCGCCTGCGCTTCCAAACATGTAAGTTTCCGATGGAGAACTATTGTTTGATCTAAGATCAATTCTATTAGAAAGTATTCCGAGTTATAATCCTAAAGAGATTTCATTAAATTCATTTTGGAATAAATATTGACAATGTTTGACAATGTTTGACAATATTTGACAATGTTTGACAATGTTTGATGTTTGTCATTGGATAGAACTTTCTATTTTGAATTATTCATTCATTGATTTTTTTTTTTATTACTTTGTATCAATTCATTTTGGAATAAATTGACAAATTAAATTGGAATATTGGCCATGTTTGACAATGTTTGACGATGTTGGTCATTGGACAGAATTTCTATTTTGAATTATTCGTTCATTGATTTTTTTTTTTATTACTTTGTATCAATTCATTTTGGAATAAATTGACAAATTAAATTGGAATATTGGCCATGTTTGACAATGTTTGACGATGTTGGTCATTGGACAGAATTTCTATTTTGAATTATTCGTTCATTGATTTTTTTTTTTATTACTTTGTATCAATTCATTTTGGAATAAATTGACAAATTAAATTGGAATATTGGCAATGTTTGACAATGTTTGACGATGTTTGTCATTGGACAGAATTTCTATTTTGAATTATTCGTTCATTGATTTTTTTTTTTTATTATTTTGCATCAATAATTTGGTTGCATTTTTGCAGTCTTTCGATCATTGAATGATTTTGATTTATAAGATAACATTTTAAAATAAAATCCATTTAAGATATTTAACCTTTATCAAGATGTTTGACATTTATAACCGATTAATTAATTAGCCAGACCTCTTGATTGGTAACTATCGATCGGATTGCAAACTGGTGAAAGGACATCTCTTCATATTGATTGACAATTAGCTACCGTCGAACGATTTGATTACAACTATAATATTCCTATCCTATTTTCAAATCCATAATGAGCATGTTCGTCGTTGCAATCGTTAATAATTGTCATTAAATCGATCGAAATAATTATGGAAAAATTTTTTCACGAAAAACAAATCTGAATGACTAAGATCCTGCGTTAAGATTTTTTTCCCTCATAATTTTTCTGAATAATATTTTATTTCATTGCAGGTAACCTTGAAAGATATGGAGGACCACAAAGCGATGACTCATCCAAATGTCTGGTGTTCGCATTTCGAGTTCTCCGGTGATCAAAGAGAACTCTATAAACATTTGTTTCTACCAGGAAAGGATATGCCTACAGCAAAAGCAAGAACGGCTATTTTACCAGAAAAGGTGTGCACTAAGTGTTCAAAGAACTGTACGACTTTACCAGAGTTGCATAGGCATATGTTGGAGTGTGGAGGAGATCAAGCTTGGTTATTAGGATTGTTCGGCAATGGAAAGAAAAAGTGCAAGTGGAGACCGTTTGGAAGTCGTAGTAGAAGACGAAGGCAGCGTGGCATGAAAAGAAACATTCAAAATTCTCAAACTCCAAGGGTGAATACTCCTAAAGAAAAACAACCCACGGGACCGAGAGTTAGACCCAGTGATAGTGAGTGATTCTTTCTGCATATTGCATTTTTTTGGGGGGTATATATATATATTCTAAAACAAATTTTTTCATAAAAATGTTTATCTTTAATTCAGAAGTTAATAATGTATTTTTAATGGGCAATGTTATTAATTTTATTATATGGAAAAATTCAGGGAGAAATTAAGAGAGATTCTAAATTCTACTTCAATTTTAACTTTGCTTTTTATTAAAACTTGTTTTAATAACAAAAAAAGTACAACATATGCGGGAGTTAATAAAAAACGAGCATAAATAGGAACACAAAGAGAATTTGTTAATCGCGTCAGAAAAGCGTTTAATTACTGCACTAATTCGAGCTTTGTTTCATTTAATTGAAATTTACTTATTCGCTGTTTCCTTTTTGCTATGCAATAATTACAGATACCATCACGACAAGACATTATAACTTGAAACTTATTAAATATTAATATTAACATACTTGTATTAATTATATTTTGTTTGTATTCTTATGTTCAAATCGTGCATTATGATAGCTCTTCTATAAATAAATATTAAATGAATATTTAATAAACTGTTGAAGCAGTTTTTGTGATATATTCTTTTGTACATACGAACAATATCAATGATTCATTGTTAATAAAACTTTTCTTTTTCACGTGACATTCACAATAAAGTTTTCATTATTTTAAGATTTTTAATAATTTTGTATTAATAGCTTGTCTGTTTTTATCCCTGTTCACAGGGGAAAGCATACAAAAGATGTTGGCCAACTTACCTCCAAAAAGAGCTACCAGAAAAGTGTTGCAAGACAATACATTGAAGACACAGGGTAGACTACGTACTGTAAGTATTGAATATCATTTAAACAATTTAATTAGCTTTGCCTTAGATTGTCAGTTTTAGTGTCTTTGTGTTTCAATGTGAAATAACACCAAAATTATCATCCAAGTGCTATATTGATATTAAGAATTAACTAATATGAACAATGAAATAATATAATATATACTAAAAAAAATTTCCTTAAAACAATTATATAAGAAATAACATTTTATTAATTCTATTCTAAATTAATTCTATTAAATTCTAAGATACGTAGAATTATTTTTTTCTTTTCATTCTGATTCCAAATTCATATTATATTTAATATTACAATTTAATTATAAAAGGATATCATATCTAACTACATGATACATGAAATATCACAAAAAATATTCTGTTTTATCCACAACTTTTAATTTTAAGTTGCAAACTTGTACCATTTTTCTCATTCAAAAAATTTCCAAGTACAAGTATTATACATCTATATAATAATGTCAAGAATATAGAAATAGAATATTCACCGATTTAGAAAACTATTATTATGTAGAGAGATTTTTTAAGAGCCAGAAAGAAATTTATAAAAATACTACCAGTTGAGATATATATATATATATATATATA